GTTGACAACCACCCATATGAATGCAACGGCATCCGGAGAGGTGGTAGGTGGTAGGCTCAACGATCGAAAGACTCAAGTGAGGTTTAGAAACTGCAAGAGCCGGCATGAAACAAGGCATGGAAGAGCGCGCTCACATCCGTTGAAAAGCAAGGAGTGGTTTGCTGCACTACATCTGCACCCCGCCCCACCCCCCCCCCCCGTTCAACCCTTTTTCGCTCGGCTCTAGCCGTGTCATGCGCCCTTAAGCCCCTAAATCTCCTAGTTGCTGAGTACCCTGGGCCCCAAAAATGTTAGCCTTTCAACTGTGGTAGGATTGCCTACTCAGCTACGAAGAATCTGGCAGAGGCTCTTTGTAAGCCTGGGGATCCCCCAAACCCTAAACCCTAAACCCTAAACCTTAAACCCTAAACCATGAACCTTGGATGCAATTTTGTTGAGGTTGCGAGCACTGATCCTCAAGCCCCCCCCCCCACCACCCCCAAAAAAAAGTGGAACCGCAGCACTTAGAAGGGCCCTGAAATCCTGGTTTCGGGTATCCGGGTTTAGGGTTTAGGGTTTCGGGTTTAGGGTTTGGCGTTTAGGGTTGAACCCGAAAACCCTGAACCTCCCCCCCCTTTAAGTAACCGATCCTGCTGGACGGAGGCCTTGATCTCAGCCGTGCTCTCCCGCCTCAGGTGCTCTTAGATCCCAAGGGAACAAGCTCTCTGAGCCAGAGTCCCTTTCCGTATTGTTTGGGGGTTTAGGGTTTAGCGTTTAGGGTTGAGGGTTTAGGGTTTAGGGTTTAGGGTTTAGAGTTTAGGGTTTAGGGGTTAGGGTTTAGGGTTTAGGGTTGGTTTAGGGTTTCGGGTTTAGGGTTTAGGGTTTAGGGTTTAGGGTTTAGGGTTGTTCAGGGGTAGTGGGCTTTCTGGGATGTGCAGAGTTTGAGACAGCACCGGTCGAAATTCGGGCGGCTAAGGTGCGGGAGACCCTAAACCCCAAACCCCAAACCCTAAACCCTAAACCCTAGCCCTAAACCCTAAACCCCCCAAACATCAGAAAGTGGAACGCCCCACCAACTGGGTGCCCAGGCGACTCGGTGGCCAGCGCCTCTGCCCTGCGAAGGCGATCCTCCGCCCAAGCCGTCAAGTCCTCGAAGCGTCGGGCTTGTAGCGATAAAAGATGGTTTAGGGTTTAGGGTTTGGGGTTTGGGGTTTAGGGTTTAGGGTTTCGGGGTTTCGGGGTTTAGGGTTTAGGGTTTAGGGTTTAGGGTTTAGGGTTTAGGGTTTAGGGTTTAGGGTTTAGGGTTTCATGATATGATCGTAGAATAGTAGAATCATTGTAAGTGGTGATAATATCATGATACGCTAATGTGATAATATAATTATGGAATGATATATTGATTTACATGTTTATATTTGTAGAATAATGTAAACCTATACTGCTCGCCTAATCTATTTAGCGTTTGAATCTCAAGGTGTAGGGCACAAGGGGATCGGGAGGGGACCTGTAAGGTTTATGGCTCTGGGTCTTGCGATGCCTTCAGGGTATTAGTGGGCTACGCTTGCGGTCTCAGGGCTTCTCAGGGTTTGGCAGCACCCCCCCCCCCCCCCACCACAAACAAAAAAACAGAGCCTTGCTGAATTACCCCAAGCCCTAAACCCTAAACCCTAAACCCTAAACCCTAAACCCTAAACCCTAAACCCTAAACCCTAAACCCTAAACCCTTCGCGGTGCGCCTGGTGGCGCTTGTTTGCCTCGGTGCGGTCGCGGAGCCGCTCCTTGCGTTCCTCCGCCATGAGCCTGAGGGCCTGTTGGGGCTTGGGGCTTGGGGCTTGGGGCTTAGGGTTTAGGGGTTTAGAGTTTGGGGTTTAGGGTTTAGGGTTTAGGCTTTGGGGTTTAGGGTTGGGGGTTTAGGGTTTGGGGTTTAGGGTTTGGGGTATGGGGTTTGGAGATTCAGGCTGAGACTTTTTAGCAACTTGCACACCGACCGCCACACACCGACCGCCACCTAAACCCAACAATCCTCAGCCTTGGACCCGAAGACCCCTAAACCTTGGGATGTTCCCCCTTATACTAGCAGCCCTTCAAGAGGGCGTACTATACTCCCTATGAAGGACTGTTAGTATAAGGCCCAACCGAAACTCCTGCAGCCTTCAACCCCTAAACGCTCAAACCCACAGACCCGAAGCTGAGTGATGCTCTGTGCGGGCATTGGTTTCGACATGCTGAGTGATAATCGTTCAACAGGGCACGGCGGCTTTTTTTCATGCCTTCACCCCCTAGGGAAATAGGATTAGGGGGACCCTTGGAGAGATAAACCCTCTGAATAAGGTCCCTGTTTAATTAAAAAAGCCAGAAGAGGGTTAAGAAGGGTTCCCTTTTGAGGGTCCCCCTTCTCCAACCTAGGACCCCCACCCCCTACCCCCGTCCCCCTTTGACCAGCTCTGGACCCTCGTGGACCCTCTTAAAGCAACCTTTGGAATCTCGGCAGGAATGCTGGCTTTGGCCCTTTTGGCGACCAGCCGTTTGGGCTGTCCAAGAAATTTGCGGCGTACGGCCGCGGATGCAGAAAGCACGCGGAGCCCACAAGAGGAAGCGCGCAGCCTTCAGATGCCGAACTCGAAGCTCCAGCACAGCCGCCATCGACCCGGCCGACAAAGGCTCAGGTGCAGCCCTCCTCGATCAGCTCTAACAGGCACGCGAACAGGTTTGGATGAGGTGCGGCAGCACCCCCCACCTTCCGAAGAATCTCTGCACTGGGAGCTCTGCCAAAGGCAGGCAGTCCTCCACTCTTTGCGAACTAGCTAACCAACCCACAATGTTTCGCGCCAGTCCATTTGACAACGAGATGTTGCTGCTGCTTGCTGCCCCTTATGTCTGCCTGCTGCGCCGCATCCAGCGTCCCCTGCGGCGCGGCTGGTCATCCAAACCGACGTCCGCCCTGCCATCCACATTCGCATCCGCATGCGCATCCACATTCACGCTTGCGTCCGCATCCGCGGTTCCATTCACGTCCACCTTCGCAGCCGCTTTGCTCACATCAGCGCTTGCCTCGGCCTCCATGAGAGACATGCTTAGAGCCAGCTCCAGCTCGGGGTCAGAGTCGCACTCGGGGTGCAGGACACTCTCGCGCAAAGCCGCTTGCAGCTCCATCTCCTCCAGCTCCTCCAGCTTGTCCAGGCCGGTTGCGTGCACGGCGAGGGCGAGTGGGACAGGCGCAAAGGGGTGGCCTGCTGGCTCTTCCACGGGATCCGCCTCACTGAGCTGCTCGGCATTCAAGGACTCCAGCGAAAAGTCCCAGTTCTTCTCCAGCAAGGCCACAGCGACAAAGGCCAGGCGCTGCGAGAAAGCCGGGACCAAGACCTGCAGGTGGTGTTCCCGCCAGTCCGCCTTCGTGGCCTTTGACGGCCGCGACTGTCGTGTCGTCGGCTTCTTCTTGGCTTCTTGCTGGTTTCGGCTCTCATCCACGGAGCCCTCGAGCATGCCCAGCGGGCTCCGGAGGGCCGCATGGTTGCCGAAGGCGCAGAGGTCCACCTTCAGCATCACGGGGCCCAAGTTCACCAGCACACCCAAAGCCATGGCGGGGCCCTCGACCACCAGCAGCTGCCCGACGCCGAAGTCCTGAGCCCTTCGCCAGACGTTGGCATCCTTTAAGGGAGGCTCCGGAGACACCAGGAGCTGGTGGAGGGCGGCCCAGGTCTGCTGGGCTGCTGGTGGTGCTTCGTGGACTTGGACTGGGGAAGCGCTGTAGAGCCGCAGGACGAAGGATCCGCGGCTGGCCCGGAAGCTCACGGGAACGACCGTGTACACCCTGCCCGACTCCAGCACCACGGAGCACGCCACATCGCGGCGGGCCCCGCCAATTCGAGCTTTCACCAACCGGGGCTTCTCGGAGTAAAGGTCTTCGAATATCAGCAAGGAAAGGTCGTTCAGGTAGTAGCTGGGCGGCCTCTTCACCTGCTTCCCTCGCTCTGTGGGCTGGATGGCCATCACCCAGCACTCCACGCCACACTCCGCACAGAGCTGCAGCGCGCTGCGGCAGCCGACGCCGCCACCTCCAAACTCGGCGTCGAAGCTGCGGGCGTGCCATCCGTCCCTGGCGTAGCAGATGTCGGCACAGGCAAAGCCCCGAATGAAGTCCACGTAGTTCCTTGACCGCGCGAAAGGTGAGAGCTGTAAGCTGAAAACAAAGCAAGGCCCCGCTCAATCACAGAGAGCTCCCAAAGAACACTAAACCCTAAAAACCCTAAACCCTAAACCCTATAAACCCTAAACCCTCCCTTAAAACCTAAACCCAGGGCTCATCCAGAAGCTCCCTTCGTCGGGCACGACGGCCGCGCCCAGCTGCGCCAGCAGCTCGTCCTGCTCCCGGCGCGTCCACTCGCCCCACGGGTTCCGCACCTTGACTGAGCCCAGACATATCTGTGTGTATACATATTTTTTTATATGTATATGTATATGCCTATCATATACATATATATATATATATATATATATACGCACATGTGCATGCATAGAAATATACATGCATACATACATACACACACACACACACACAGACAGGCAGACAGACATACATACATACATGTATATGTATGTGTATATATATAATTATTTTTTTTACACGTAGACTTGTATGTATATACATACATAGATGTATATATGCATATGCCACTCGAACACCAGCACAAAAGCACCTAAGCTCCGCACCTTCACGCGTCGCTCCCCGAGAGCCAGGCCCAAGCCGGTCGCCTTCTCAAGGACTTGCAGTTTAGGGTTTAGGGTTTAGGGTTTTGGGTTTTGGGTTTTGGGTTGTGGGAACTTTAGAAGGGACTAGGGATAGTAATTCTGGCTTTGTAAGGAATTTATAGGGGATCAAGGGGAATAACAATCGAAAAAGACCATGTTCAAAATGCCCCTGTGAGCCGTCCCGCCTCCAAGACGGAGTAGGCGTGCTGCCCCACGAGCCCAAGCTCCTCCAGCGTCTCGGCCCCCGTGCCGCAACCGACAGGGCATCCGGCCTTGCCCCAGGTCCCGCTGCAAAATAAGCAATCTACCCCATATGTACACACACCACACACATGCGAAGGCTTGCCGGCTCGCAAGCGCCAGTCCCCAACACATCATCCTTTGGATCAGTGAAAACTGGGGGGGGTTTCATGGACGTAAAGGGCTGCTTCGTGGACCATCGCCGGCACCATGAGGCCGCGACAAATATAAATAAATAAAGACAAATTAAGCACTGCAAATCCACACGACCTCGGGCCTCTAACCACAAGGATAACACCCCAAACAGCAAAACCTGTGTCGCAAAATCCGATGGCTTCTTGAAGCCGCATTCTTGTATTCAATTGCCAGCTTCACACTTCGGCTGCCTTTGTGGGAGCCTCAGTTTCCTTCGCAGCTTCCCCTGCTAACACGTGCCCTGCTTTGTGAGGCCGTCGGATTCGCACACATCCTCCTACACATGTGGGTGGTTGGCAAAATTATGGTCCCTTTTTGGATCCCCAATATAGTACGGTGCGTAATATTTAGGGTACCCCAAAAGGGATCATAATTTTGACAACCACCCATGTGGGGGTTTACATGGGTTTCCTCTGTTGGGGTCCTTATGACGGGGGGAATCCTACTATTTGGGGATCTATCTGAGGAGTCCCCCATTTTCGCAAAACCCCCATGTAGGGTTGACTGCATGACGCCACCCTCGAGGCCGCCTTCTACTATAGCCTGCAGCTTGGCGCACTGCCCTCGGTTCCTATCTGATATCGTTTGTGAACCTTGCAAGGAGGGCGCTCAGGTTGAATAGCTTTCTAGAGTGGCTTTTCGGATGTGCGGCTCAAACTCTACAAGCAACCTAACTGCCGAAACTGAACGAAGACAGACAGACAGACAGACAGCCAGACAGACAGACAGACACACACACACACACACACACACACACACTGTGACTGGTTTAAGGCAGTCACGCATCTGGGGTACGGAAGTATGCTGGGCCCCTGGGCCTGCGAGGCTGCATGAAAACAGCCCAAAAGCACCCAAAACCCTCGAAGTGAAGGACCTGAAGCCTGGCGCTGGTACAGCATTTGCGTGAGCGTCAAGGCGTATCACTGAACCCTAAACTTTGCCTCAACCCTTTTTCACTTGGTGAGGCCCGTTATAGGGTGGCTGGGCTAAAAAAAACCCCAAATTTTGGCGGTCCCGGATCGCGGGTGGGGCTAAGACCACCATGCGCTCAGTGGTTGGATTTATGCATCTGGGGGGTTTCCGAAGACAGGGGTACCCTTTTTTTTTGGGGGGGGGGGGGGGGGGTCCGTTTAAGGGGATTCTGTTCTATTTGGGGTATAAACGGGGTATACCTCTATATTGGAAATACCCATATCTGTGAGCCTTAAGGCAATGTTTCTTTTTGCACTTCTCATGACTGCGTGAACATGCGCACTACTTCGCGACAACCCTGACCCTTCACCCGACCTCCGCCCCCCAAAAAGCCCAAAACCGTTTTTTCCCCTCAGCCTTCCCCCCTCAGGAAAGCCTGCCAAGGGCCCGCAGGTACCTTGAGTTCAACACCCACGCACCCCCGACACCAACACAGCTACTATAAAGACCACCACAAGCCAGCGGTGTCCGGTCTGTTGCGGACATGAGGCCCACGGGTGCCAGGTGGCTAATTTTGTTATAAGAGTGTTTTAAGAGACTCCCAAAACCCCTTAATTAAGGAATATGCCTTAAATCACATTAGGGTTCCTATTATAGTTTAAGGTATATTCCTTAACTAAGGGGCTTTGGAGTCTCTGGATTATAAGTTCGGGTTTGAGATTGAAGACCCGGCATGCACAAGAAGCGAGGCACCCCAAGAACAGCACTTCTTTGGAAGCGCTCGGAGAGTGCGGAGGGTTGTGTCAAGGAGGTATGAGGACGTGTTGTGCAAACTCCTGGCATCTGCTTCGGGTGCACCAGTTGCGCATTGTTGCAAGGCCAAGCCGATCCAGACGAGACAGTTCTTGGGTCTGTCCGGGGTTCGGGCTCAGACACACGTGCCATGTCAGACCTGTCATATGTCGGAGGAGGATGGAATGCTTTGGAGTGCGCGTGCATGATTGGGAAACGGCATACAAGTCAATAGGATATGAGAAGTTGAGTGATCTTGAGACGTTGCTGAGCCCTTTCGGAATGTTCGGGGGCGTTCGGGTTCGCGAGTGGAGCTAGGCCACACCCGAACAGTCCCGAACACTCCCGAACACTCCCGAACCCTCCCGAACCCTCCCGAATGTTCCCGAGCACTCCCTCACACTCCGAAGGAGGTACTCCTGAACATTCCCGAACGGACGCTCCCGAACACGCCGGAACACTCTTGAACACTCGGTGTCAGCGTCTACGTCCCTAACATTTCCAAACAGTCGCGCGGCCAGGTGGTGGGGATTAAGGGCAAGCACGGCATAAGCCTTGGTACCCTTGAGGCCAACCCTGCTTTTTCTGCATCTCTTGCTGGCATGCTGGCAGCCCTGATGCATTGAGATGAGTACTCCAAAGAATTTGCAGGCAGGTGGCAGACCACATGGAGGAGCCCGTCGAGCCAATTTGGGGTTTTGGGTTTAGGGTTTAGGGTTTAGGGTCTAGGGTTTAGGGTTTAGGGTTTAGGGTTTAGGGTTTAGGGTCCGAAAGCATGCCATCTCTGTCTGACTTCACCCTGTTTGGCACGCATTGTCTTCCATTTCAAGAGTCAGTGTCTGCCGACAGGTTCTCGAAAAACAAATCTGTCAATAGCATTGTCCCGTTTGCCCCTGCCTGTCTTCCAACTCTAAACACCACGTGTGTTAAACCCACCCTATACGCCCACCTGATGGCATCCTGATTCTCTACCACCCCACAGGTTATGAGCCTTTGGCTCAAAACTTGCCGCACGGCTTTAGGCCAGCAGCAAGCGCATACAATTTCAACAGTGAAGCTCGGGATTCAAGACGGACCCTGAGCTTCCCTTCGTCGGCGAGCTGAGCTGCGGCTCTCGTTGGAGCATGCCTGAGGCACCGCGCAGCAGCTCGTGGCGGGCGCATATTCGCAGCTGGAGAAGCCACCAGGAAGATTTCCGAAAACAGGGGTACCTTCTTGGGGTCCTTATCATAAGGGAATCCTACTATGTGGGGGTCTTTTCCTAAGGGTCCCCGATTTTCGTAAACCTCCGGACCAAGCGTTTACAGGTGCCTGCCGAGACGTGCGCCTTGTTTCGGGCGATGGGCGAAAGACTCAGTGGGTGCACCTTGCTACTCCAAGGTTACAAAGGAGGATAACTTAGAATTTCGCGGAAGGCTGGAAGCTTCTGCACAGAGAATCTGCTTTGAGGGTCCAGTGTTCAGTGAGGCTCCCAACAATCAAGACATTGCAAATTCGATGGACCCCTTCGAACCAGAATAGAAAATATGTTGAATATGCCCTTGGTCCTATTTCAACAGAATTCCTAAAGAAACTCCAGCATTGGGGATCTTGCACAGGGCGCGCGCTCCGCAAAAGCGCTGGCAAAAAGCGCCAAGCGCTTCAAACACCGTGCTTTAGCGAAAGGACAGCTGCCTTGAAATTGGCTGCTGCAGCTCCACGTCTCCAAGCATTTGCATGGCTCTGCTAAAGCGCTCTTCCCCGCAACTTTTGCGACATGCTAGACAGCGATGCGTTCGATGGAAACCTTTGAACTCTTGCCTTGTGTGCGGCTGTGGAAATTTGACTGTGAGGCTGTAAAAGAATACGGCTGAGGCACGGGGAGATGAGGGAAGAACCGAGTAGATAGCTCGGAGATTTTTTGTTCACAGAGGTCTCCAATAATGTTCAAGCTGCTTTGAGGCCTAGTGACAGTTCAGTCAGGTCCCGGCACATTGTACATTGGGAATCTCCGAAAGTTCTGGGGAAGATAGGAAGAGTTGGCAACACAATATTATCTTTGGCCCACGTTGACTGCAACGTTAGTCGAATCAACGCGGCAAACAGAGTGCCCTTGCTGTACTCTCTGTACTCAGACCTGCATGGCCTCGGCATCCACGATCTTGCAGGCCGCCTTTTCGGAGAGGACTAAAGGGCGCTCTGCGAAAAAGTCCTTCGTGGCATCGAAGTGGCGCAACATGCCATCGACCGACACGGCACCTTCCTTTGGGTCCACGCTGATGGCGGTAAAGTCTGCGCTTCGGACTCCACCATCTTCGTAAATCGCCTCCCGAACCTTGTAGCCGAAGAGCTCCTCCAGGGCATCGAGTGCCTTCTCCATGTAAAGGCTGTCCTGCTCGTTCTTGTACAGGTGCGGGTGATTTGTGACGACGTCATCGCCTTCAAGTGCACTTCCCGATGTGCGAAACACCATGGAGTACCGATCCTCCGTGATGTTGAAGACGACGCCTGCATGCTTCTGAAAGGCATCGAAGGCTAGCGCCTCCCCCACATTGATTGCGGCATAGATGCCCTTCACCTGCTCGTTTCGAGCAGCATGCCGGTGGCGCATGGACCAAACGTGGACATTGAAGAAGTTGGCCGCAAAATTCGCTAGCTTCCGGTCTGTCCTGTTGGAGAAGTGCGGGTAAGTGCCCAGGAAAAGGGCCTTCTGCATCAAGCCTCGATTGGCATCGTTGATGTAGCCGCCCTCCAGCAATGACTTGTAGGCATAGTTCGGGGTCATCCTCCACCAAGTGCAACTCAAAACTAGCCACGCCCCTTGCTACTCTGCGGCACAAACGTTGCACCATGGGTTGTGTTGCACCATGGGTTAGTGGTGCCAACCCGGTCATCGAAAGACTTCCGGCTTATTCAGAACTCGGGTTTCAATTCCTCGGGCCATGAGAGGCTTCAAGCCTTAAAAGCCGGCTCTCCCCCCCATCCCCCTCCCCGAACACCCCCCTTTGCTCGGGGGGAAGGGGATGAAACTCAAACGCCTAAAGTCGCTGAGATTGCGACCTAGGCTGGCCCTCAAAACCCTCTGAAAAAGATTCCTGAATACGACTTGAACCCACGAAGGGAACATATGGGAAAATAAGGGAACATATGGGAA